GATTCAAAAGCACACAATGGTCAGGGATCTACGAGTGTGTGTGTAAGTGGGTGATGGCGTATGTCTGTATGGGCTTTTCTAAAGTGGCTGCTTGGCTTTGAGAGTGAGTGCATCGCATCGTACCAGTAGATGGCCTGAAGTGGTGGTGCATCATGTCAATAACATGAGAGAGCTTTTGTGCTGCAGTGCATTCAGAACTGTTGTATCCATGATGTTCTGTGTGTTTGTGAGATACTTTTGTAATGCTACGTTGCAGTGATGAGTTTAAAACTGGCAAAAAGTTTCTGAAGACAGAATATAAATACAAATATAAAAGGTTCTCCAACCACGTACACAGGCCAAAGTGATGCAACAAACCAACTCCCAGCTTTATGCAGGAAACTTGGCTAAAAACTTACAGCTTCATAAATGTTCTTTGTGTTTGTAGGTGAGCTGTCACTCCCAGCCCACATCAGCCCATACACAGAGAGCAGGGAAGATGCCTACATCCAGCTGGAGCTGCGGATGTTGGAGCAGGCGCTCCTTGCCACCTGCGTCGGCAGCATTGGAGAGCTGAGTACGTGTGTGTTGTGTCAGTCAGCACAGTAGGCTCCTGTGTTTTGTGTGTGTTTATTTAAACTGTGACCGACGTCGGACTCCTGGGACACAGCGTTTCTCGCTGCCACTTGGTTCCATAATCTGTGGCTTGTGTCCAAATAACAAGAGCACTTTCAGACCCTGCAGGCCACCGCACCTCATTATCTGGCACATAACCCAGGTAGCTACCACAGCTAAAACAAGCTAGCTGCTGTAGGCTAACGTTAGCTTTTAAAAAGAGCTTATTTCCAGATGTTTCTTTAGGTTGGAGTCTTTTGACCCACCAACATTAACAGGGCGCTTACATTAGAGCCTCTTATTGCGTGTTTTGTTTGGGTGTCCTGCAATGCGTGGAATTACCACAATTAGAGAGGGGATGGGCTAACATATGAAACAGGAAATGACCGCCATGTAATGCATTTAACAAAGTAACTGTATTCTAATTATCACTTATTTAAGTGGTAACTGTAACAGAATACAGTTACTCATATTTTGTGTTTTTAAATACATAATGCTGGTACATGTACTCTGTTACTCCAGAACTGACTATTACAGACCCACTGTGATCCACTATGTCAACAAAACTGGAAGGTTCATAACTCAAAAACACTGGATCAGCAGGTAAATGGCAGATCAGAGGGAGAAATAATGCAAATTAAATTGTAACTGTATGAGCTTTATGGTACATAATCTCAGCCTCATTATTGCTGTTGTTTTTTTTTTATTTTTACATTTTTCCTTTGTCCATAAAACAGACATAAATACAAATATATTAAGTTTATAAACAGTCTGTGGTGGTGGGAAATGATGGTTCCCGTCTTTTTGCAGGTGATCTGGTGTGTCGAGCAATGCACCACATGCAGCGTCTAAGAAGTTCGAGTCCCTCCATCAGCCACTCTTCTTCAGCCAATCAAATGCCAGTATCCTGGGCTCCAGATGCCCTCCGCACACTCTACTACTTCCTGTCCAGCCCACAGATGGAATCACTGGAGAATCCCAACCTTGACCCTCCAACCATGACACTGAGCAGAGAGAGGTGTGTGTGTGTGTGTGTGTGTGTGTGTGTGTGTGTGTGTGTGTGTGTGTGTGTGTGGCCGCCTCTATACTGTCTTATGTTAAACTTTTTTCAGGCCATTCTTGCTCCTCCCTCCTCTCATGGAGTGGATCCGTGTTGCCGTGGTGCACGCTGAAC